CAGTGGTAAAATCCATTTTTTTACTACCAGTTCTGTGGGCATGGCTTGGTGGGCATGATGTGGCTTGGTGGGTGTGGCAGGGGAAGGATACTGCAAAATCTCCATTCCCACCCCACACTGGGGCCAGCCAGAGGTGGCATTTGCCAGTTCTCCAAACTACTTAAGATTTCCGCTACCTGGTTCTCCTAACTGCTCAAAACTTTCTGCTACCAGTTCTCCAGAACCTGTTGGATTTCACCCCTGCTACACAACTGTATACTTCTTCTGTGTGTAGATCAAACTTTAAACTGCCAGAAGGAAGCTACCTTCTTGGCTTTGTTGTTGGCCAAAAAATAAATCATTATCGGGACATGTTTCTGGTAGTAGCCAACATATCAGCAGATGGGCTGAGCTCTGTGTCTCTCTGTGGATAACATAGCGTGTTGTTATCCACTAAGAGCCTTCACACAAGCATACTGGTTTTACATTAGTCACTCCAACTGCCGACTATTCAGGGCCCTCCAAGTAGTATAAGGGAAGTCAGATCCTTCAGCCAAATCGTCCTTTAATGTTATTCCTTGCTCGATGATCTCCTTCCTCCATCTTATAATTCAAGTTTGTTCTTGTCTACCCTCAAGAATGTTTGTTCTTTCTATATAGGGCTGTGTAAAATATAAGGTGACCAAGAGAGGACAATGTCTTCTACTGTAACTTTAAAAATAATAATCTAGGCATTGTTTTAAATACTGTAGAATTATTGTATTATTATCTGTAAAATTTTAGCTGGTATATTACACTATTTAATCCCTACTTTCTTTGAATAATCTTTAGGTGGAAGAAACCCGGAAGATGAAAATAGGTGATCCACTTGATAGAGCTACAGACCATGGACCTCAAAATCACAAAGCACATTTGGAAAAGCTTCTGGAGTACTGCCAAACTGGAGTAAAAGAAGGAGCAACTTTATTATATGGAGGAAGACAAGTATGTAGACCAGGTAAGTAAGATCTAATATAGCCATGATGGCAAACCTATGGCAAGTGTGCCACAGGTGGCACACAGTGCCCTCTCTGTGGGCAGGCGAGTGGTTGCCCCAGTTCAGGTCCCTAACCCTAACCAAAATGTTTATTGCTGTTTTTAGAATAGCTAATTCTTCAATTTTATTCTGCAGTCATAGCAGTATCACAAAGAGTCAAGTAATTATAAAGCATGTAGAGGAAGAAGGCAACTGATCATAAAATGCACAACAGAAACTGTAAACCTAGCTCAAATGATCTATGACACCCTTGTTTGGAAACTAAAATTATATTGAATGGATGCTCTTGTTAAAATAATCAATTGGCTAAAAATTGAAGGCCTTGTTTATTAGCTAAGTTTTATATATATATTGCAGTGAGATCACCTATGACCCATGTATCAAGATAGAAAATGATAGAGATTTATAACTACCCTTTTTTTTTTCATTAGGCTTCTTCATGGAACCTACCATATTTACCAATGTTGAGGATGACATGCATATTGCCCATGAAGAATCCTTTGGGCCAGTGATGATCATTTCCAAGTTCAAAGATGGGTAGGTTCTGTTCCAATTAATGCTGTTGTTTGCTGCAGCTTTTCAAACCCTAGATCCGTGATGGCAAACCTATGGCACATGTGCCACAGGTGGCACGCGTAGCCATATCAGTGGGCACGCCAGCTCAGCTCTGGCATGTATGTGCACGCCGGCCAGCTGATTTTCGGGCCTTCTGGGCCCACCAGAAGTATTGAAACAGGCTGTTTCCTACCTCCGGAGGGCCTGGGGAGTGGGATGGGGGGGAAAGGCCCGTTTTTCTTTCTCACCTGGCTCCAGATCCTCTCTATGCATCTGGGAAGGGCGAAAACAGCCTTCCCCACCCCCTCGGAGGCCTGAAACGGCCCATTTCCCAACTCCCGGTGGGACAGGAAGTGATGTTTTTTGCTGTCCCCAGCCTCCAGAGACTCCTAGAGAATCATGCAATTGTTAATTTTGTGGATTAAATATCATTGTTATATCCATATATTCATTACATACATTCTGGTCAAGTTCTAAAATAGTTCACAAAAATATCAGATTGGGTATACAAATGGTTCTAAGCAATGTTGTTTTAACCAGATTTCAATCAATTGGATTTCAATGGCTGGTTTGCAATTCTAGAGTTATAGAATAAGATATATAAACCACGATTCCTAAATTACATGCTTGAACTGAAATAAATTTTATTATGAATTAGCACAATATGACCACACAATGTATGCTACAAAATCTGAGGATGAAAAATAATATGGAGTGATAAATTTAGCATCTTTGGTATGTTTTATGCTGTCAATATCTTAGATGTTTCTTTATTGCCACAGAGATGTTGATGGAGTGTTAGAACGAGCCAACAGAACAGAATATGGTTTGGCTTCAGGTGTTTTCACCAAAGACATAAGTAAAGCACTATATGTCAGTGACAAACTGGAAGCTGGAACTGTTTTTATTAACACGTATAACAAAACTGATGTAGCAGCACCATTTGGTGGATTCAAGCAGTCTGGTTTTGGAAAAGATTTAGGTAAGCAGCACTTCATATTTTCTCTTTAGATTCCAATTACATTTACAAAGTGACATGTAAATGTCACTTGCTTCTCACATTCTTTCCTTTGTTCTCTTGCCAGAGGTCCGGCTCACATAGCCGGCAAGAATTATTTTCAAAAATGTAGCAATTAACTTTTCTTAGTTAGTGAGGTGTTTTATTTTCTTTATAACAAATAAATGAGTTTTATTAGAAACCTTCTTCGCGTTTCTTTTCTGAATATTGCAACAAGGAATAAGCCTCGATTCATCTCCTCCTCTAAACCAGGGTAATTAGTCCCAGAGCCAAACATGGGGTAAGAAATTTATCACCTTCCAGAACTCTTTGGCTCTTATTCTGAATCAACATGATAAACAACATGAAGGGTTTTGTAGTGTAACAACAAATATTGATTGTTATAGACTACTTGTTCTCTGGTACAATGTGGGTTTTGTAATGGAGCAATTGGGAAAATGCATTTGAAAGCGAGTTGTGCTATTTTATCCTTAAAATCAGAGCACACATCCAATACTGTAAATTTCAGCCTGACAGAACATGGAATTTAGGACGTGTTGCAAAATGCAGGATTCCTTTACAATAGAAGCAATCTTTTAACATCTTAAGATGCACTTTAAAAAAAAAAAAAATGGCTTTGGTCCTTGGATGATCAAGGCTGTAATTCTGCCTATTCACTCACTCACTCCCTGCCAGCCAGACATATAGGCTTAATGATCTGTTGTAAAGCATCTTCTCAAAAAGGTGGGAGGATTCAGACAAGTGCAAAAATAGGATCTGGAGAGACCACATTGGTCCATGGACTACTGTCTGCCTACCTTTGCTTTGAATTTCAAAGCTTGAAATCCTGTACCAGTTCTTCAATTGTTTAATGGCCATGTTTTTATCCAGCAATTATTAATTGCCTACCTTAAGTATCATTTTTTTAAAACAGAAAATGCAAGCATGGATAGTACTAACAGGATTTTTTTGGTAATATGTTCCATCTTCTAGCCACCTCCCCAGAGTACCTCCCACCAGCCTGATCTTCCCAGAGCCTTCCCAGTCTCATCCTTCCCCTCCTAGGAGCTGAAACATGCAATATGGACATATCACATTGGCTTGTCCAGCCTTCCTAATTTCCCTGTCCTCTCCGTGCCCATATTAACTGGCCCTCCAATCTTCAGTACCTAGAGAAGGCTGTCTCTTGTATTGCCTTCTACTAAACAAATTTCCATTATACTGAGGGTTTACTTGGTTCTGAGTTCTACCTTGCTTTTTGCAAGCACTTGCAATGTGAGAAACTTTGCACCCTTGGACACTCCAACTACTGCAGACTTCCTTATTCCTTTTAGGTGAAGAAGCTCTTAATGAGTACCTGAGAACGAAAGCTGTAACTGTGGAATACTGAACAGCTCAGCCAAGAAGCCGCATTCTTCCTCTGACCCACGGCAACTAAAGGATTACAAACAACAAAGTAGAAAATGCTTCCTGGTGTGAACATGCCAGCCAGTGTCTCAGTGCAATGATCCAATTAAGAACATTTGCATTTATTCACAATGGGAGTTCAACACTTGCTACGGATTACTGTGATCATAAAGTACTTTTTCCTGTAGCTATCATGTTCTCCTCCATCTGCTGACATTTAGGGCTAAATGAAGGTGAGACAGAAATCTAGAAACCATCAAATTTCTGATATTTTTGTCTTTATGAACCTTTTACTTAAGTTGGAAACATGCTATAATTTTTTTTATTTGTCCTCGGTAACCATTGGGGTCTTGGCCACTTTACACCAGCATCATACTTTTTTCCTGCAATAAACATTTTGCATATTTGAACTAAACTCAGAAAACCAGTTCATCATAAACATGGTTTATGTACCCAAGGAAGTGCACTTATTATGAATCTGTACAATAAAGAATTGAACATCTGTGTTATTCACCTAAATAAATAAAAAAAAAAGTAGAACTATTTTGTAATCTGTTTGCCAATGAGTTGTATGTGATCTCTAATTGTGGGTGCCAATTACATTAAATAAATGCTTTTTGGATGTCCTGTAGTATTTAATGACCTAGTATTGCATCTGTAAAATAATCTCTCTCGTGCTCTAATACATTTACAATGTTCTAAAGTCAGGGGTCCCCAACCCCTGGTCTGTGGCATCGGTCCACATGTCAGAAACCGGTCCATGCAAAAAAAGTGACAGCCCAACTATGGGACGCAGGCAACACACAAAACCGTGCTCCCTCAGGTCCACGGAAAAACTTTTCTCCACAGAACTGGTCCCTGATGCCCAAAAGGTTGGGGGCTACTGCTCTAAGTCATACAATACATATTAAGTTTTGATTCAGGGAAAAAGTTTGAACACAACCGTTCTGAATTATGCAACAAGACATGATTAAAGCCATGGATTAATACAATTTGTGAAGACAACCATGCCAGGTTTTGAATGTATTTACTACTTGCAATTGCAAAATATTTATTGAAAACAACGTATAACATTGTGGTATAAAATACAGTGAACGGAAAGATAGACTACGGTAGTGTTAGTCTCAAAACAGATAGCTGCTCTATCTAAGCAGAAAGATATTTTGCCATTTGTATCTTGTGTATGAGTTTTCCAGGAGTATACTATGGAAAATAAATAGAAAATATTGGTGGATTGTGCAAGGGCACCTAAATTTTATTTATATTTATGTATTACAATTATTATCAACTCAAATCAATACACAGCAAGATGGTCCTCTTTCCTGAAAGTTATGGACCATAATCTACCATGTACAGTATGGGGCTATTACTAGTTGCTAATTCCAGAATATTCAGCCTATTTGATTTTTCATGTCAAACATTCCCGATTTACATTCAATTCCATTTTCAAGTAAGCAATAACAGGTCAAATATTATTTATTCAGAAATAGGATGATCTTATTCAGTGGAATATATGTTCCAGTAATAATGCATAATCATAACAAATTGCCCATAAGAATAAAACTAATTTCAGCTCAAATTGGCATGTATCTTGCAAGTTGATGCCTTTTACAGTATAAAGCATACCTTAAAATTATTTTTTATTCATCTTAAATAAACTTTATGAGAATACAAGGCATATTTTAATTTCAAAGATGTAATGTGATCTCAAACTGGCTGGGATTATAAACTCCCAATTTGATTTGTAGCATATTTTGGACCTTTAAAATATACTGGATTCCCAATGGCATTCCTCATTCTTCATTATGAATGCTGCTTATCCACAAAAATATCTTTCAGTCTAACACAATTCTTTCACCTTGACCTTAAAGGACAGTTTATGCAAGGTGAGTAACCTGTGGTGTAAACAAATGAGCTTGAATCCCAACCAGACCTGGGAGTTAGGAATGTAGTTCATTTGGAAGGCCACTACTATTAACATATAACAGTGGGTCACCAGCGCAAATACTTTGTAATTGAAAAAATCTAGAATAAATTATCTCTTTTCCACAGATGTTTTCTTTGATCTCTATGTAACCCAAGAATTGGTAGTAATCTGTAATGTTATTACAGATTAAATCATAAATAGTTCATAGCTATTATTCTTTTGTTTCTGTCTGGTCCAATTATTTTTTCTGCTTTCCCCTCAATTTTACAAATGAAATCCTCATTAATTTCTTCTGACTTGATAGCAGACCTACAACAGATTTTTTTTACACCTCTCCATATATCAAGTACACAAGCTTATTAGTAGTACACAGCGCAACTTTCCCAGAGGCCTTGAAAAAATGAGGATTACATGTAGATATTGAAATGGCGGGAAAATAAGGCCAATTCACCTACTCAGTTTTTACCGTCCAACATTTCTATTCGTCCTTCTCTTTGACAAAGGAAACTTAATATTTTCTTCGGTAACTTCTTCATAGGTAGAGCTCTCCTCACATTCTGAATCATCTTCTGATTCTGTTGTATCACAGTCATTCAGTTCTACTAAGGCCACATTCTGTAATAATTTAAATAATGAAAGTAAGATAAAATTAAGTGCACAATGAGAATGTAGATGTACATCAGTTTCAGTGCTGAACTATGAAATCAAAAGCAGTTAATTTTTATTTTCAATAGCTTAAATAAGCATAGTTCTATACTAACTATAAACAAAGTCTTTGTTTATAACTAAGAAAAAGCAGCTAGATGGATTAATCCATTAATTGCCTTCCATGATCAGAGGCTGAAAACACTTACAAAACAATTGCTGAAAACAAAGCACCACAGAGCCAGTGGCTCTCATCTGCTGCTTAGGCAAATCTTCTGGGCATGAGTTGGTTACCTCCATCAACAAGCAATGCAAGATTAGTTTTGAAAGGAATTTTGGAGACAATGTAATCAAAGGTCTTTAGTAAAGGAAGATGCTAACTGCAGCAGTCCTCCTAAATCTGAGACTTTTCTGGGTGTCTGGTGTATCACATGAAGACTTTGTGACAAAGCTTGGCCTTGATCATTCTGATGGGGAATTTTCAGAAATGCAACCCTCAAACATCCGGATTGCATATGGGAGAGAGAGCTACTCTGACACTTTGCCTGAAATATTTTTATGTGCTTAACTGAAAAATGTTATGACACCCATCCCCTTGGCCTCCTAGAACCATGGCTTTTCAGATGGGTTGTGGAGAGTGTTATATAGCAATGCAACTTTTATAATTTTTTTAGCTTTGTAATTTTAGTCATGATTTTATTTTATTTTTAATTTGTTCCAATTTTAATACTTAAACTGCATAAGCTGTCTTCTCTCTGGCTAGTTTCAGGGGTCAGATAAATTTGATAAATAAAAAATTACTTCAGTAATAGCAATTTCAACAAAAAAAGATAACATCCAGATGTTATTATGGATAATAGTTTTTGTCTAGACACTAAACAACAAGAAGAAGTTATTCTATTTTGGGTATATCATAAACATGAATGTAATGCTCTATGCCAAGGAATTAACTAGAAACAAAAATATATTCACCATTTCAATTATTTTTTCCATCGAAGAATCTACATGTTCAATGTCAAACTCTTGGCTAGGTTTGCTGTCCATTTCTCTTCTCAGCTGATTATTTGCACTAGCCATCTGGGGTAGAAAATTCTGCACCTTATCCAAAACTAAATGTACAGAAATGTGTTTATGAAGACATTAATATACTTTTAAACTTTTAAAGAATTAAAAAAACATTACCGGTAAGGGTAGGAGGAACATAGGGATGGCCAGCAGCATCCCACATATAGGGAATGAAAAGAAACATAGAAAATATAGAAAGACAGTGCTGAATATGCTGTTAATCAACTGCCATATTGCAAGATAAACTTATTATGAAAGGTCCAAACTTCAAATTCATCTGTATTTAATTAAAGATGCTATACAAAGGTATACTTCATTTTATTTACTTTAATCACTAGTAACTGTTGAGGAGCGGAGAAACCAATTTTAATGCTCACTCTCTGTTCTGCATAAATAATAGAAAATGCATGATTCTTCTCAAAGACTTCCATGTGTATTTAAGCTTTAAATCTTTTGACATTCCTGAAGATACAGCCCCGCCCACCAAAAGGCAAGACTTCATTTATGATGATTATTTTCTAACATACATATATAATTCAGGAAAGGCACAATCCTCAGTGCTTTTTAAACTTGTCTACCTTAATGGGTGGACTTCAACTTCCAGAATTCCAGAGCCAGCACACTGGGTAGAAAATTCTGGGAGTTGAAATTCACACGTTAAAGTTGCCAAGTTTGAAAAACACTAAATCAGAGAATAGTTAACTCACTGGTAAAAAATAGATATACTTACTGTTGCTCCTGGGCAGCCTGGTTGTCTGTAAGGTTGGGTCTTTCTTTTTAGCATGTTTTGGACTGAGCAAAAGTGTTTCGCTGATACCTAGAAATCCAGAAGCCCTGCTTCAGTTGAAAAGGCACATACTATTGATTTTACTACAGTACAGTACAGTATTAGTACAGTATTTCTCTCTCTATAGGTAGCTTTGCCCCCCCTCTACTGCAGATTAGTTGATGCAAATCAGTTCTTTCAAATAGCTCCACTGTGAGAAGCAAGGCACTTTTTTCAACCCCATGCACTACAGAAACCAAATATTGTAGAGATATAGTATGAACTGAGAAAAACTTTTCAGGCTATTGTGCCTTTCAAAGCACAAAAGCATTCCCATTAGACATTTAGGCAAGCATTAAATATATGAAGTGATGAAGTGAGAAAGTCGAGATAGAAAGGACTTTTTTTCAGGCGCAAACTCTCATTTTAGCAGAGAGGCGCTTTAACATTTTCTTCCAAGTTTGCAAAAAAAGTTGCACCTTAGTTTCGAAAATATTTGTGCGTGATGTTCATTTATTCACGCAAGATCTCACGGCTACCATGTCCCTACAGGACTTTTATTTAGTTATTTATTTTTCCTTTTGGCAGTTACGGTTCAAGAAAAGCAACGGAAAAAAAAACCAAAATAACAAAGCTACAGGTATTGCAACGTTTCTCAAACTTGGCAACTTTAAGATGTGTGGACTTCAACTCCCATAACTCCCGAACCAGCAGCCACTGGGAATTATGGGAGTTGAAGTCCACGCATCTTAACGACGTTAGCTAAGTTTGAGAAACGCAGGGTTAGTGGGAAAGGACGAGACCGGGAAGCGCGACCTTCGTTCCTTGACCTGCGGCTCCTCCCTTTGAACACATTCACCGCCAGTTACCTCCTCCGCCTCCCACGGAAAGAAGCACCCGAGATATCTCGGGACCCGCGTTGCCACCGCTCTGCGCCATTCAGCCCGATATGAGCCCCGCTCGCGGGTAGCGAAGCGCCCCGCCTCCAAGAGGAAGCCAGAGCATGCGGCCGGCCGGGAACGGCCAAAGCCAGAGTGGCTTCGCGAGTGTAAACAGCGCCCCCTAGAAGCACAGAGGACCTTCGTTAGGCTCGAAAAGGCTTTATGGGAAGTTTTCTATCAGAGTATAAATGCTCTCACATAGTTTCACTTGTATTTTATTTTAGTTACGGTACTCATAATTTTCTTTTTGCAAGCCTCTTTTCCAGATTCCAAGTGGCAGTTTTGTGTCTCAGTTACAAGCGACTACACACCATTCCTGCCCTGCAGAGTTGTGACAATTAGACTTAGAATAACTTTATTAGATTTTGAATGTACACCAGTCGGCATACAGTAAAAGGAAATTTCGTTGCATACAGCTTTCAAAGGGTCTACAATGCCATGCTATAGATGACTCCACACAATCAAGCGAAGTATCGATAACTTTGCATTGTCAAAAGAATACCATATCCCATACCGAGGGTTTCCATCAAGCCCCCTATTTAGATTTTTTTAAAAAAAAAAATCTAAATGGGGGGCTTGATGGAAATTCTCGGTATTTTTAAAAAATCTAATTTGAAGAAAAATCTGACAGTTTATCCAGACATTTTGTAACCGTTTCAATAAAGATGCTATCTTCTTGATATCTTCCCAAAGTATAGGAAGAGTATTGATACTTCTGAACTTTGGTGTTGGAGAAGACTACGGAGAACACCGTGAACAACCAAGAAAACAAACCAATGAAGAAACCCTGAACAAACCAGCCCAGAATTCTCACTTGAGGCACAAAGCACCAGGCTCAAACTATCCTACTTTGAACACATTATGTGAGGACCAAGCTAAAGAAGGCTCTAATTCTGGGAAAAGTGGAAGGAGGAAAAAGATGACAAGCAGGTGGGTGGACTCCATTACAGTGGTGATGAGTGCTTCATTGGAAGACCTGAATAAAAACGAATAGTTATGGAGAAAATGTATTTATGTGGGTATCAAGAATTGACAATGATTTTAGTGCCCTTTAATCAAGCAATCCTCTTGAAATGTGTGCTCTATAATTATAAGATTGTAATAGTGTGTTTGCAACCATCATGTAGATCTTTTCCATTTAATTTTTTTTCTGTAATATTTCAATAAGGTCACCATTATCTCATCAGGAATCATTTTTCCTTGCAAATTTATATTTAATAGACAAACCTGCTAATCAGTTTAAACATTCTTTTTTGTTTCCCTGTTTAACACTGCTATTTTGGGTGGCTGTTGGAACTTCGTTCCCATTCTACCACTGAAATGTAGAGTGTAAATCAGCAATATAGGATAAGCAGATAACTTCTCCCTAGGCCTTTACATCATCCATGGGGTCCATAGCCCTGTTTATTATGGCATTTTATCCTTCTTATCAGCTGTCTGCTCCTATTTATGCACATGGAAGCTATTTCTTGAAAGAGCCTGTCATACACACAACAATCTCTTCACTCCTCAGATTATGAGTCCCCATTCCATTCCATTGCAGAGAATAGACAGATTCAGTACAACTGTTCTAGCTGGTTCCAGCAAATGTAAGATCTTTACAAAAGAAATAATGATTTGATATCAAACACATTCTGCAATACAGCTTCAGTTCTCCATCCACTTCCTAGCAATGAGACCAGCTTGGCTTATCTACCCTTAACTCTTGGGTAAAGCTTACCTTTTTTATTCTGTCTCTCATGCTTCTGTTCTGCATCTTCCATAATAATGATAGGAACATCCCATAAATCAGGGGTGTTAAACTCATGGCCCGCAGGCCAGATGCATCACGCATGGGCCACGCCCACCCCGTTTAGCGAAGGGGGAAAGTCACGATACATCAGGTGATGACAACGTGACGAAGTGAGTTTGATATCCTTGCCATAAATGGTCTCTTCTACTTCTCATTTCGACAAACTGAAAGACAGTTGTCTCACTCTAAGCAAAATGTTCCAACAATTATATTCAACAAAACTGCTTCAGACATTGATGTTGATTATGATTTAACACTGTCATTATAATGTTTTTATTATTCTGCTCTACGATGTTGTTTTTACTGTTGTTGATCTTACTTCATTCAGATTGTTAATTTTGTTTTGTTGATTACTGTTGTGAATGTCAATCATGCTGAGTTTGATTTTATGGCAGAAAAACAGACTTGCTCAAGGAGGGATCCTATTGTCACAGCCCTTATCAGTATTTATTGCCTTACAATATTAAACCTTTTTTTTTAAAATTCTGTCTCAGTCAAAAAAATGAGCCTGAGATTTTGAAAAAAGTACAATAATAAAAATAAACAATGTAATTTCATAGTCCATTGGGGAAGTATAAAAGCAAAACTCATAAAATATGGATCTAATATATCCAAGGAGTGAATCACAGTCCACTATTCTACAGGGCCTGTCAGATAGACGTGGTTAACTTGCAAAACCAGTATTTCCTGAATTTAAACACCGATAAAAACTGTTTGAACAAAACATGACAAGCAGGGATAGGTTCTACTTACCTTTACTACCGGTCCGCAACAGGACTGTGCATGCGCCAGTGGTTGCCCCCGGCGGGAGGCTCCGCCCACTGACCTGGACGTCATCATAAGTGATCTGCGCATGCGCAGAAGCTTCTGGCACGATGTGAACAGGTAGTAAAGGTAAGTAGAAACCACTCCTGGCGTGCTCATGTGCATATCACCCATGATGACATCGTGGCGGGTGGGCGGAGCCTCCCGTCGGTTTTACTACCAGTTCTAAGTAGAAACCACCCCTGGCGTGCGCATGTGCATATCACCCATGATGACGTCATGGCGGGTGGGCAGAGCCTCCCGTCGGTTTTACTACCAGTTCTATAGAACCGGACAGAACTGGGAGCAGCCCACCACTGATGACAAGTACATTTTACTGCTCAAATAGTGTAGCTCAGTGGTTCTCAACCTTCCTAATGCTGCAACCCTTTAATACAGTTCCTCATGTAGTGGTGATCCCCAACCATAAAATTGTTCCTAAGACCATTGAAAATATGTGTTTTCCGATGGTCTTAGGCAATCCCTGTGAAAGGGTCGTTCGAACCCCAAAGGGGTCCCAACCCACAGGTTGAGAACCACTGGTGTAGCTGTACATAGTCTTACAGAATACATATTTGCTAAGTAAGTGCCATCAAATTCAGGGGTTCTGTCTGAACTTAGAAGTTCAGAACCAATTTATATTATTCTTTAGTAAAAGACTGAATTGTCATATTGTGCTAAACCAGGGGTGTCAAACTCAAGGCCCGGGGAACACATCCGGCCCGTGGGATCCTTAGATCCCCTGGAAACAGCAAAGGACAGGCCTGCAGTGCCTCTGCCAGAGAAAATGGAACTCACGCTCCGTTTTCGCTGGCAGAGGGTTGCAGAAGGCCGTCGCAGCTGAAAATGGAGCTCAGGAACCCGTTTTTGCTGGCAGTGTTCCGGCCACCACAGGGCCCCCTGACATGACTGACATCAAGCTGGCATGCCCACCCTGGCCATGCCCCGCCAGGCCTCCCAAGGTCAAACACAACCCTGATGCATCCCTCAATGAAATCGAGTTTGACCCCCCTGTGCTAAACCATCAAGCAGATTCTTTGCTCTTTTGCCTAGCATGATTAGATTATGCCTTAAACAGAGGTCACTAAACTTGTCTAATCCTCAGGTATCTCATCCTAAAGCCGAAGTGCAAACAGGGCAAAGGTTATGTATGGACAACCAGCATTCATCTTGGGACTCTTGGTTTTCTTGCTAAACATGGTTTGCTTTTGTTAGGGTTTGTGAAATAAGTGACAAAGGGTAGCTTAATATAGGTAGGACAATAGGTAGCCAGGTTATTAATAGGGCTTACAAACCACAGTAGGTAGATCACATCACATGTTTTATAGTCCCAAACCAAACAAAACACATTATGGACTAGAATGTTGTGCAAATATTGCTTTAGGACACATATTTAATTTGCAGTTTGAAATTGGGAGGTATTATCTAGCTTGTGGCAGTTAATCTTTTGGAATCAGTGGGAATATATGAAATATTGAGATCATGTTAAGGGCACTCTTCCAAAATAGTTGCCACAACAAGTTGATTAGAAGGTAAAGTGAAGGCCGGGCCCCACCTTAATCTACTCCTCTCCTTACCCAATACCTTCTGAGCAACTGGCATACTTCCCAAAAAAGGACCAGGGATCATTGTTATGTTCTATAATACCTACACTTTAGCGTTATTATTTGAGCCATGAAACCGTGCAGGTTGTAAAATTTAACACCACCATGCAGGTGTTGTTAAAAACTGAAGTAAATTTCCTCAATTAAGTATGACCAATGCTAAGTTCATACTTCACTATGAAATACTCCTGCAAGCCCATTCATAAAGACTCCTAGGAATAAAATTAAAACAATGCATCATATGTTAACACCTGGTACAAAAAACACATTGCCTTTAAGAGAGTGGTAGCACTGAATTGCATTATATGAACATATAATAAGCTGAACACTGGCAAACAGATGCCTACCTGTTATTTTTAAAAACTTCTGCTAATTGTTAGACCTGGCAGGTGCCTCTGAGATTAAAACATTTCCCTTAAGGCATTCATATTATCTTTTACTAAAATTACTCATAGGATGCAGTTTATTCATTCTACAGACTAAATAGAATTTACTCTGTGCTTTTGATTGTTACAGATATTTTTTATCAAGAAGTGCACACCTTGAGACCAGGAAAAGTAATTGAGTAATTTAAGAGACAGCAATGAAAAATGACATTTCTCGTACAAAGTCCAATCCACATCATAGTGTTATTACAATATTCTGTGAATATCCTATGATGTACACGTTTGGATTGTGACGAAACCTATTAGAACAAACAACAAAATGGAATCAAGATTCCAGTCCACCTTATCTTTCTCGGTTCCTGAAAACTCTTGCTTATATTTTTGTGCATTACAGGCCAGGAAAATTTTGGTAAAAAGTAGCCTATATAACTTTAAGAACTTTTTTCTTTTGAATTAATTCTATGTTTTACAAAG